ACGTTTTACTTTTTCATAAAGATTATTGAACCATGATTTGTTAGGCACACAGTCTGGCCTTGGACGGGTGTGAAATATAATTTAACTGCTGATTAAATAGGTAAACTTATTGTCCACGCTTCTCAACCATTCAGTTCACGCGTTTCAATTGAATTCAACCCATCATCAGTCTTGTGTTGTGTTGACCACATCACCGCGAATGTGTCGCATTCGGGGACGGATTGGCAGACTATTTGTGACAGCCCAACTGGCGGAACGGAGAGAGTCCAACGCTGGGGCAGGAACGCACATATACCGTGTCACCGTCACAACACACACAACCCAATCCGTAAAATGAATTGCCTAAACCAATTAGAATGACACGGAACGGTGATTGGCCTATGACCATTGGCAAGCGTTGTCGCTCACACCAGTGCAAAAATCTCTGACCCGTCACGTTATTTTTCTCTAGACCAATCATCGTCCGACTACGCACTTGAAGACGGATGTACGGACGCACAATGGCAAGTCTGTTATTGTTGTTGTTGTTGTGTTATTACTTGACTGGATGATCTCATTGCAGGCACGACGCTTCACGATGGATGAATTTACTATGGGGTATATACGCATGCATGCACATATACGCACACACTGAACCCCTAGTCCGTGTCAGAGAACAGTACGAGTTCGTGTGTGTCTGTGTGTGTGTGCACGCGCGCGAGATTGGAACAAGACACGGGTGAGTATGTACTGGCACTGGCAAGCGTGCGGCTATTCCCGGTCTCATCCGTTTCGGTGTGTATCGTTGTGTGCGCGCATGTGTGCGTAACGATGCTTTCGTGCATGCGCGTTCCAATACGTGTGTTTTCTCACAAAACGGATCGGTGCAGAATCAGCTTCAGTCTATTACTATCATCATCCACATCAGAATTATCATTCTACATGATAGAAAAATCAGACACAGCAGGACGCGACTAAACACAAAACGAACACATACTCGTCCCCGTCTGTGTCCATCAGTCGATTCAGACAGATTGGAAGGGATCGGATTGAGAGTTTAGTCGAAAAACAAACACAATTTTGAGTTCATCCGCTCCCCCTTCCTTCAGTCAACCAAAAAAGAAGTTTTGTGCTCCTGGATATTATTGTGTGGAATTCTATA